TTCACACCCCGGTACCTCCTCTCCCACTGGCCCATTCACACCCGGTACCTCCTCTCCCACTGGCCCGTTCACACCCCGGTACCTCCTCACCCACTGGCTTGTTCACACCCCGGTACCTCCTCTCTCACTGGCCACTCCAGTCCAGCTGACATGGAGGGAGAGGCGTGGACACTTCTGGCTCCAGAGAAGAGAGAAGGTACCATGGCTCCATCATCCCACATGGGCAATCCTGCCTCCTGCCTGTCACCCTCCCTCTGGGGCCTGGACCCCCTCCCCTCACGCAGAAGCGGCTCCAGGAGCTCATCACTCTCCATCCACAGGCAAATGGAGGCGGGGGTTGGGGGGTGACTAAGACCCACAGCCCTCCTGGTGCCCCCGCTCCCCAAGGGCTGTCAGCAACTGCGTACCGACCTGCTCTGGAGGAGCCCTCGCCCCGGCCTGTCTGTTCTGATCCCCCAGATGGCCTGGAGATGGACCCCCAAGGAGGCACTCCCACCAGCCGCACCCAGCCTGCCCCCACATCGTCCACCCCGGCCAGCAGGGTTGGCAGGCCCCGCCATGCTGCTGTGGGGAGACTGCAGCACTGGCCCCAGCCAGTGGGCCCCCTCCCTTGCTCTTTCTGCTCTGATGGGAGTTTTAAAGAAGGCCTTTCCGCTGCCGACAGCAGCACTCTCCTTACACCTCAGCTCGTGTCTGTTCTCACACTGCCTGCCAGTCCTCTGCCTCCATTCTGGGTCTCAGGTCGCGGGAGAGGCCCGTCGGCCACACCAGTTCCCTGGGCTCCTCCTCACAGCAGATGGGCTGGCTCTGCAGGACCACCGATCCTCCGCAGCCCCCGCCCCGCCCTAGCCTGTCAGGACTTCACACCCACCTTCTGCCTGAATTTCGTCACCCCTTCACTGAGACCAAAGGTCTTCGGTCACGAAGACCCAGCCCTCCCCGCCCTACCTGATACTTACCTGTCCGCCACCCTACCATTCCCCTCCTCCCAAGACCAGCTCCCCAGCCCAGGTGTTGACCTGCAGCTGGGGACGCAATTCACACTCCCACTTGCTGGCTGGGTCACCCAGAAAGGTCAGCTGGTACTTGGGGTAGGCTGAGCTGCATCCTTCTCCACGCTGGGGGACGGCTGGAGAGGGGCCCCTCGCAGAGGACACCCACACACCATCCACCACGAACCTTCACTTTCACTTACAAAATACCAGCACATGTTCAGTTGTACATGTTATACTGCCTCCACACTGAGGCAGGGTTCTTATCTGAAGTGTGACATGGGCCAACTCAGAGGAGGCTGCAGACTGCGTCGCCACCTGGGCAGTTTCAAAGGAAACAGGAACTTACTGAACCAGACTGCACAGCCCTGATGTCATAAATCCTCACACCAAAGACAGCCTGGCTCTTCACGACTGTAAGTACAAATGTGGATACACTCCCGCCCCCGAGCTGCACAGTATCGTCTCAGTCCCGGGGGCTGTACGTTCCCACAGACCCCACTGATGAGGGGCAACTTGGGAGGAAGAGAACACTAATTACAAGGTTTTAAACATCAGTCACCATAAAAAGTAAACAAGGCAACTGGAACTCAACCGCCACCTGTGTGTGCTTCTGCTACTCCGAAGGAGCTCGGGCTAACCCTCTCTAACGCTCAGGCTTCTCTTGTTTGGGGCTTCTCCGGGTTTTGCTTTGGGTTGTAGCTTTGTCCTTGAAACACTAACATGGAAAATACTGGGCATGTGTAACATCAAACAAGGCACTGAAGAAATCACAAACCTCTATTTCTCATGGTAACTTACCTTTCAGACCAGGCTGGTTTATTACTCGAGAAGCTGTTTCAGCTGGTTTATTCTATTTTGTTGGGCAGCCCCAACCCGCCCGGCCCAGGACAGTGGGGCAGCTCACCTGAGGGGCTGTGGGTCTATGGGGGAGTCCAGCAGCATCACGGCTACAAGCAGGGGGGCCAGCAGGGACACAGCCAGCATCAGGAAGGTGGCTCGGAACACTCTGCCACTGAAGGAGCTGCCGGGACAAAGTACACGAGGCGTCAGCAGGGCTCAGGCGGACTGGCCACGGTCTCAGCCCTCCTGCCCAGCCTCCCCCACCATGACCTCAGTGACAGGGACGATCAGCACTGTTTGCTAGGATGGCAAACATCCCCTTGTTCTTTTTCAATTGTCCAGCTTGTGGGCCACTCTTATCCGTTACTTTCCAGGTGGGATGATAAGCCGTACGCGATCCTCAAGCAAAGGTTAAATGCGGGCAAACCAAGGACCACTGGGCACAAACTAATGATGAGAGAGCTGCGCTGCAAGAAAGGAGCCTGCCCTCCCCACCATGGGAAGAGGTGGCTCTCCGCCACCACCTCCTGCTGCCACCTGGCCCAGAGCAGCAGCACTCAGAACCTGTGCCCCCAGGTCCCGGGTTTTGTGGATGAAAAAGGCAGAGACAAATTCATGAAGGAGATGGAAGCAGCGCAGCCTGAGCGCCCCCCGACCACTCTGGGCATCACACAGCTAACAGCTGAAAAGGCAACTACGGCTCTTCAGACACTGACAGTTAAAGAACCTACAACATCACACCCCAGGTCATCACTGCTACAGCCGCAGGAAGATCCAAAAATGTGCCGGGAACCTCATGCGAAGCGTGTGGACACAGGGCCGACGGTCCTCACACACGTCATCACCCACCCAGCGACAAGGAGCCCTGCAGCCTCTTGCTACGAAGCGCGCTGTACAGGATCACTGTGTACTTGCATTAAGTGTATCCACATTTACCACACACTTGAAATAAGATTAACTTACAGCAAATTAAAATCATGAGCTCCTATGGTGGAAAATCTTTCTTTATCAAAAAAAATCAGGACTCACGCATAAAAAACCAACTTAACTTAGGGCAGTGTTTCATTTGACTTTTGACAGGATGGTATCAATGCAGATTGTAGAAACGAGGGGGCCTGGGGCCAGCCCCAACTTACCCAAGCACAACCATGCCACTTCAAAGGAGCTCCTGCACCCCAAAGCCCACTGAGGATCGGGGCTTGGGGCAGGGTAGTCTCAAAGTCCTGCCCACTTCTGAACATGTATGATTTTTTAATTTTATTACTTTTTGTTAAAGTATAGTTGATTGGCAACGTTGTGTTAGTTTCTGGTGTCCCACAGAGGGACTATTCTTGCTCATGTCTTTCTCACTGCAGGTGATTACATCTATCGCACAGTTCCCTGTGCTGCACGGGAGGCCCTTGTCATTCATCTAGGAGCTCACAGTCTTTAGGAGTAAAGCAAGCAGTCATGGAGCAGCAACGTGTCCGAAGCAGCAGCGAAGCACAGAGGAACTGCCCAGAGAAGCCCGGGACAGCTTCACGAGGAGCTCCATAATTCATCATTTCAGCTCTCTGGTAAATTACCAAAATGCTAATGAAAAAATGAAAGCATGATCTTTTGAATCTAAGATATGTTTCCATCAACTTCTCCTGTTCCCTCTTGTCTTCACCCCAACTGCATACAAGCAAATGCTACTGTCCTGCTAAGCATTGTTGAGACCAGAACACACATGATTTTAATAAACAAATAAAGCAGAAAATAAATCATTCTGCTTCCACTGGGGGTAGCTGGAAACGACAGAGTGCACCCTGCACGTGGGTAGCACGACTGAAGTGCCTGAATCCCAAGTCAGTCTGAGTGGGAGGGACAGGCTGTTCCTAGGGCTGCTGGGTGGCAGGCGGCCCTGCTGACACCTGGACTTCAGCACAGTGAGACTGGGTGCGACTTCTGACCCAGATCTGTAAGACGATCTGCTCGCGTTGTTGATGCTGAGTGTGTGGTCCTTTGTCATGACAGGCACAGACTGACACAGGTTTCTAACTAAATCCGGTACCAGGAATGAGGTGCTGCTCTAACAAATACCTAAAAATGAAGCAGCTTTGGAATCGAGCTGTGGGCAGAGCCAAAGGCAGCCTGAGAGGTCTGTGGTGAGGGCCCCGAAGAGGGTGACAAGCAGCAAGCTCCCCGCGGGTCAGCAGGTGGGACCCTGGCCTCTGTGGATGGCCAGGAAGCAGGCAGAGGCACAGTGGCCATTGCCCGGCCCACGGCCAGAGGGCCAGGTCTCACCCAAGCCCGTGGGTGCCATCAGCATCACCGCCTGCGAAGGACGGGGGATGGGAGAGGACGCCCAGACCAGGAGCCCTCAGAGTCAGGCTCTGAAACACTCCGCAAAGCGAATGTGATTCTCTCTTCTGGATGTTTCAGGTAAGCGGAACCAACGTGTGGGACCTCGGCAAGCCGCCCCCTCATTCAGCGTCGTGTCCGGGCTCACCGAGCTGCAGCGCGCCAGCACCTCCTTCCCTCCATGGCACAGCTCCACACACGTGTATCCACTCATCTGCTGCCGGACGTCTGGGTGGGAGCAGGACGGGGGTGACTACTTAAGGGGAACAACGTGTTTCCTAGGGTGATGAGAAAATTCTGACACCAGAGAGAGTGGTGGTTGCCAGACACTGAACACCACAGACTGTGTGCTCTAAGGTGCTTAATCTTCTGTGACTCTCGTCTCAAAAAACGTTAACAGTGATGGAAATGCCAAAGTAGACTGTGGCGACTGTTGCAGATCTCTCTGAATATGTTAAAAACCCTAAACTGCACATCCTAAACGGTGAATGATAGTACATGAATTACATCTCAACAAAGATGTCAAAAAGTAAGTGAGCAACTCCGCACACCGCCCATCCTGGCTGGGACATGTGTCACTCAGGACTTCCTTGAGTGCCCAGCCTCTCAGCCTGATGGACACAGGGCATGTGGCAGGAATGATCTGGTCCTATGGCTCCTTTAAAGGTGGAGTTCCAAAAAGCAGGCCACGTGGTCCTACAAAACCTCTCTGCAGGGCTCAACAGGGAAGGATGAGCGACCCTTCAAAGGGGGCTCACATAACCCACCCACCCCTGCAGCAGAGGTGCTGCCCGTGCAATCTCAACAAAAAAACAGGGACGCTGGCCAAAGCGCCCCCTTACCTTTCCTTTGCCCGACACGATCCACATAAAACAGATTCGTCTCATCTGTCTGGGACCCTATGTGGTTAGATCTCCATTTCTACACTTCAGTGTACACTTTAAAATCTTACTTTAGTAATCCAATTCAGAGCTGGTGGCAGCCTGCTTGAATATCCTGTTGCCCCTTTCACGACGGGGAAAGGCTCTCTCATCTCCAAAACAAGGAGTCCACCCAGGACAGAAAATGAATGCTTACAGATAGAAAGGTGGCCAGAACTCAAGTGATGACCTGTGTCCACACGGCTTACCCTTGCCGGGGAGCCAGCCAGCACCCTTTGACAACCAGGTACAAAGAGCTGGAGAAGAATCTGGAGGCCACCCAGCCCAGGGCTCCCAAGGGTGGCACCTCCCTGGGGGCAGCTGTAAACAAAGCCGGAGAGTCTGGTAGGTTCAAGATCCCCAGCTGTTCTTAACGTGCAGCTGGACACCACTGGCCTGCTTCAGCCCCTCCCCAGCGAAAGAAGTCCATCAACACCCAGGCTGACTGCCAGCCAGCCCCTACTGGAAAGTTCTGCACAAGGTCAAGTTTTAGAAAAGGCAGCTCACACAAACGAGCCAAAGGCAGCCTCAGGCCACTTACTTCTTCACGCAGGCTGAGACCCTTAGTTCAAAAGGCCCACCAGAGCCAAACTCAAATCTTACATACCCAGTTATTTTAAAATAGCCCAAACAAGCAAATTCTTAGCCATTTAGAGACTACCTGCTTTGTATACTCTATGAAACCTCCTCGAACAGCTGTTCCCCACAGATAAAACCCCCTGCCCCCGCCGCTGCCCTCAGAGCTCACTGATCCACTCACCTTGACCCGGGGCCCCACTTGCCCCCTCCGTCTGTGAGACTTCCCAGCTCTCAATCCTGCCAGGGTCACCAGGGAGCCCGCATGTGCAGCTGCCCCTCACAGACAGACATACACTGTCCCTCCTCAGCCCTGCCATGCCTCCAACCGTCTACATAACACAAACAAGAACTCAATGTTTACCTTTGGTTCATTTTAATCAATTTGAACTGAAGCAGCTACAATATGCCCAAGTGGCTTCCTCATCAGACAGCACCCACCACCTTGGAGCCCCGACACCCCTTTGCAGCCCAGGGCGGGTCCAGTCCTTTCCCTTGGGGACCCTGGCTGCCCCACTGGCTCACACAGCACATCATGAGGAACACGCACCCTGCTGCTCATGCTGACCCGCCTGCTTCTGCCACCCCAGGCTCCCGGCCCGACACCACACCGCCCCGGCTCTCTCCCTCTTTGTCCTCCCCAGCTGGAGCACCCCCAGCCTGGCACGAGCCCCTCAGACGGTGGGGCTGGCAGAGCATTCTGGTTGCTTCAGAGCTTGCCAGAGTCCCCCGTAAAGGGTGAAGCCCACAACTCAAGGCAAAGCTCTAGTCAAACCATAAACTGTCAGTCCACAGAACAGGTTAGCCATCGACAGGGAGAAACGAGGGGACATTATACAAACACCTGGGCTCCCAGCTTCTCGTGAAAAAGTGGGAGATCTGGCTCCACGTGACCCACACTGCAGGGTAGGGGCTCCCTTTCTCCCCATCCCCCAACACGTCAGGAGGACTACGAACCAAACACTGTGACTGATGTGTACACAATGCTGAGCCTGGAGCACAGGAACACACGGAAAACCTCAGGCAGCGGATGGCACTCTGCGGGCACCTGAGTCAGGAAGCCGGGTGCACAGCTCCTTGGGCTGGGGGCTCCCCACGCATGCTCTGGGCTTATTTTAGCCCAAGGTTCATTAACTTTTTGGCAAGTCCACCTCACTGCTGGCTCCACAAACTCAGATCCAACTATAAAGCAGCCTCTCCTCTGCCACCTTCACCCACCACCGCCGGTGCACACCTGCACTGCATCCACTCAAAAAGAGGACCCGCCATTCATCCGTACCTTTTTCTCTGACAAAGCTCTGCACCTGCCCATCCTGCTCTTTCCTCCCCAGCCTGTGTTGACACATCCCAGAAAGTCAGCAACTTCCTTCCCAGGTGCTGTCTGGGAAATCAACTTGTTTGCCCCAACCTCTACACCCGCACCCTCGTATTTCCTAACAGCCTCTAAGGCAAGACAGTGATCACAGTGACGCAACAGGATTGGACAACAACTGTCAGCTCAGCTCCGCCTTACAAAACCCTGTGACCGCACCAGCCACACATGAAGGGATTTCTCTAACCGATTCTGCTCACAGGACATCAGGGCCTCGACTTATGGACCAAAGTCCTGACCAACAGACTCCGTGAGATCAAAATAGGCCTGCGATTTTTATGGGAAACCCTTTAGGCCCAAATCCATGGGAGACCAGAACCCCAGGTACCAAGGGGATCCCTGGAACCTGAGAGTCACACACAATGGCTCAGGCTTCCCAAGGGACTGCACCCTGCATTGGTTCACCTGTCATACTCCTTTAAACTGGGCTCCTAGACTCTGTGTTAGCATTGAAAACAAATTTAAAACAAGGGCAAAGAGCAATGGGAAAACACGCCCGGGGAAGAGCTGAGAAGAGAACTCGGGATTCCCGGCTCCTGACAACTTCATGCATTATGACAGCCCCAGCTGTTTCTGCACACTGCCTCCCTGACGCCTCAACCTTAAAAAGGAAAATGGACCTAACAGAGATTTTGGATTAGTCTAAAACACTTAAGTTTATTCAAAGAGCACCTGCTAAATTTTCAACTCTTCACTCCTCAACACACAGACACTAAACATAGCTGTCTCTCTTCCCAGACACAACTATTTTGCAAAAACGGAAGGAATGCTTTCCACTGGCCCCTGACTCATGACTGAAAAACCTCCTTTGTGACTTGCCTTTCTAGAGCCCAGACGCCCCTCTCTGCTATAACTCTCCTTCAAAGGGGTTCCTCTTACTAGCATCAGTGAATCAATTCAGTTCTTCTTGCCAAAGACTGTCCCTCGTTCAGGATGTACCGCACGCACAGGCATCCAATGAACATTCCCAATATTTTTATCAACATGTAAGTCAATCAAGGGGGAGGGTACAGCTCCAGTGGTAGAGCACACGCTTAGCAGGCAGGAGGCCCTGAGTTCAATCCCCAGTACTTCCTCTAAAAATAAATAAAACTAATCACTTCCCCCACCGCCCAAATAATTAAACAAATAAGCCAATCAGTTCCACACTTTGAGCTTGGACTCTGTGGGGCCTCTTGCTTCTAATAATTCAAAGTTATGACACTCTCGGCACAAAGGTAAAAAAAGAACCTTGAGAATTTTAAAGGCTTATACTTCATTCTTTACCCAAAGAGCAAAGCATACTTAAATTCCGGAAGCTTGGGAGAAGCAGCGAAAGCCAAAGCCCCGAGATTTCTTTCACAGGCACCAGTGACTACAGCGTCCTCTGCATCTCCGTCCCTAGCAGGAAAATGCTCGAGGCTGGCTTCTCACAGAAACTGCTCAACTCCGTCCCTTCCGTGCCCCGCTCTTCCTGAAAACCGCGCCGAGAAGACCGGCTGCGGAGGCCGCTCTCCGCGGGCGACCGCGCAGGCAAGTGCGGGCGGGCCCGGGAGACGCAGGCGGCGGCGGGG